GTGTGGCCTGGTATTCGCGGCTTCGCGTGATGCACATCCTGGAGAAAGCCTGCGGATGCTACGACCCCTCGGCTTCTGCGGGCGGGAATTGGCAAGGTGGTTCTAAGCAGGAATGCGACTAACCTCAGCTTTGCTATGATTGTAACTTCTCTCCGCTGGGGCTCTTGACACAGTCAGCGTGATCATTGCCATCACTGCAGTCATGGTCACCATTCTTCTGCCTATCATTCGCATGACCGTCGATACAGCAATCGGCAGTAGCAATATTAGTACTGCTGTCGTAGTGGTAGTGTAGCAGTCGTCGTCGTAGCAATAGGGGTTAGGGGAGTAGGAGAAGCGGCAGCGGGAGAGGTGGCAGTAGTCGTAGCGGTAGCAGCAGTAGCGGTAGCAGTGGTAGTGAGTGGTCGAGGCAGCGATCGCGGTGCCGGCACCGCCATCACCACACCATGGCTCAGATGTTACTGTGGTCTATCACCATGTTGCCGTGGTTGCCACCGTGCACTCGCGATATTGACACGTCGTAAATGTTTGCAAAACCGAAAGAAGCATGTCCATTGGATCATGTTTGGCATTGCTGTCACATATCCTTTAGTATTCTGTGATGATGATCGCTGCTACTGTAACACTACTTGCTAGAAGTATTGTCGTCGCCCTAGTTTTTATAGCCCTAACTAATTATCCATGTTGAGCTATTGCCACTGGTTTTCATCAGCATCATCACTACCATGAACATCATTACTCTGATCGCTTCCTGTTGCTACTACCTGTCGGTTATGATTGCCTAGGAGGTTGACTGCCATGCGCACGGACAACAAGGGTCTCGATTTTTTGCCTAACCGCAACACACACGTCATCGTGATTGTTTCGCTGACGGTCATAATCAGCAGCATCTCGAGCATGGCACGTTTATCCTTCTGCTCATCCCTCACTGTTTCATCTGCCGAGCAACGACCAGGGCCCGTGTCGTGCGGCTCGCCGCCGCTCGGAGCCATGGCACGCTGCTACCGAAGGTGTGTCTCTTCAAGTGTTCAGCAGTAAGTACTGTCTGTATGCTTGAGTCTGAGAAAGAGATAAGCGTTCAAAGATCTTCGAGCTGGCAGGGTTTCAAGGGCAAGACAATCCAACAGCTCCGCGGGGATCCATGTGACTAGTTCGTGCGTTCCCTGCCACTTTGCACAGCAACCCCTTGTTGTTATTACAATCGCTTCCTTGAGCAAGGTCTGTGGTCCAGCACGAATCACTGCGGACCAGCAAGCATCAGGTGGATCACGCAGTGCTGGGTGACTAGCATCAGAATCACCTTACTTTTGAATGATCTTGTATGACCTTGTTTTGTCAGTTTCGGAGGCTTGCACAGTCGCATTCCAACCCTCCAAATAGTCGCGACTCGGTGCTCGGCTTGGGTTGGGCAGAAGAGCTCACAAACGTTCTCATGTGTCGACGCAGATGATGTCATGCAAGCAGCCCGCCTCTCGATTGTCCGGATTCTTGTCCGGATGCCAAACCAAGGCCTTCTCTCGGTATGCCTGCCGCTGAAGGCCCTTCTTCCTCGGATTCTTTGCCTGCTAACCTCTGCGAGACCAGCGAATGCGGCTTCCGCCCCCGAATCCGAATGAGGCCTTCTTAATGGTCCGAAGGTCAGCATCCTTCGGGACTTCCAGCACCTCGTAGTAGGGCTGCTTGGCCTTAGGTGAGCTGCGTCACTCCACTTAAGCAAGTTTCCAACAACAGTCTGTGATCAATAGAACTGAAACACGATGCAGATTGCCCAGCCCCAACCTGGCGAGGCAGGGAATCCAAGACGAAGGCCTCCGGGGAAAACGATCCAGAGAGCAACCCCGACAAGAAAGTCAAAGACAACGCCCTGACAGTAAACAAAGCCCGACAACAAAGCCAACCACAATGCCGGACAGCGGGAGTGCGCGGGCGTGAGGGCCTCCCTGGACGCACCTGGGAGGCCCGTAGGCAACATACAAGTAGAAAGTAACTGTAGCGACCTGTCTGTTGCAAAGAACCGGTTCATGTTTATGCAAGTCCAAATAACATGTTTAACTTGAGCCAGGGGCGCCTGGGGGTGTTGTCGTGTCATGTCTAGTTCGCGTCGGATGTACAACACGCTCTCGATCCGGAAAGTTCAAGATGGAGGCTCGGAAGCGCGCAGCAGGGCGCCAAAGCACTAGATTTGCACAACGCCCCGGACTTAAAGAAAAACATATTTCCTGACGTGCAAACCCGAAACCCTCAAACCCAAAGCCCGTAGTTCTCTTGACCCATTGGCGGTTCGGCGGCTTCTGGCGGGCTCCATGTCTCTCGAGCCCCGAGCCCAGGCGAGGCAGAGCACCAGTAGCCAAAGCACCTCCCAAGAGAGAAGAGCCTGGAGCTCTGGCTGTCGCTCTGAGCTCTGAAGCTACAACGGTTGATGATAACCCATAATAAGGAGTATATGGGAATTATGGTATATTCCTTATTATGGGTCATGCAGGATTTTTATCATCAACCGCAAGCATCCAGAATCAGAGAGCTCCCGCCTTGAGCGGCCCCATGCTGCTGGGCTCTCTCTCTAAAGGCCGCGCCACTCCCTTGGCGCAGAACCTACATGCCAATCCCTTCTTCTCAATCATGCAGGGAGAATCCACCACTCCAGGAGCTACCTGCTGGGAAGGGGAGGGGGAACTTAATTTCCGGTGGGCCCGTTGACGGCATCCATCAGACAGGCTACAATGGCTACAGCTACCGGCTACGCGGCTACGCGGCTACGATGCTAGCATTCGCTTCCTATGGCAGCTCGATCTTCAGCTGCAGGCGGCGCAGGGCGGCGAGTCTTCTGCAGGGGACGGGACGTGAGGACGACGACATGACGCTCCGCAGGACCTGAGAGCCGTGAGCCGTGGCGAGGTGCCGGCGTCCGCCTCTTTTCTCTCTGCATAGCCGCCCCTGCAGCCGGTTGTGGTGCCGGCGTCCGCGGCCTCTTTGCACTGCCTGCAGCGTTCCAGGCTCCCCTTTGAATGCCCCAGGCCCAGCAAAAGCCAGGATCTTTAGCTAAATGAAAGCTCTGGGACCGGAGCGGCCTCCTCAGGCGGATCAGCGCTTTGCCCACGTGGCCCTGGTCAGCATCGCACCGCGCACGGCTCAATCACATCGCATGTGAACCCAAAACTCAAATAAACCTTTCACCTCAAAGCCTGAACTCTCTGACGCCGCAGACCCGAACCCTTCCGGTTGGCCTCCTCGGCGCGAAGTGCCGAGATGGCGGCCTCCGAACCGAAGGCGCTCAAGCCCTCGGCCCGGGCCCTCGCCGTGAAGTGACAGTGACGGAGTGACGGATGGAGGCGGCGCTCAGGCGAAGCAGACAGATGATGAAAGCAAATCGAGTCAAGAGCCTAGCCCAACCAGCATAGAACGGTACTCAGATGTAACATGCTGCAGAGGCTCGGGGCCTCTGGAGCAGTCGCTCCAAGCGCTCCTCCTCACTCTGCGGGGCCTGGAAGCAGGCAACTCAAGGCTCAAGGCTTACTGCAGAGCTGGGTGCTACGAAGGCTTTAGCTTTTAACTCCTCCTGGCCTTCGAGGCCTTGGGAACCTCCGGCTCTGGCTCCTGCAGACATGTCCATTTCCACAGAGGCAGGAGCGAATCAAAGCAGCAAAAGGTCGCGCACGCGACCTTGGGTCCAGAAGCTGACAGACGACTGATTTCGGGACCTTGGCATCGTCTGCCTGGACCTGCTCCTCGGCCACATCAGCCTAGCAAAGAAAGGAAGCACTGCATAACTGCTGCATAACCTCTGCAGGGCTGGGAGTGATGGAGCTAGCACCTCATGCCATCGAAGATCTGATCTAGCTCTCCCTTGTTACCCTGTCGCATGTAAAGCCATGATGGGTGGAACGGAAGAGATGTTGAAAGAGAGGTCATCAGACTGCCGGCGATCCCTTGGCCGCAAGGAGCTGCCCTGGAGACAAGAACCCTTGCTGACAAATTCATGTCACCACGACGTGTCGATACCCTGGCATTTGGAGAATTCGTGGCGGTTACCTCACTTGCAGACAGCTCCGAAATCCTGGTGGGGAGTGCCGTCGAAGCCCTAAACCCCTGAACCTCATAAACCCTAAACCCGAAAGCATAAAGCCAGAACAACCCGAAGCCCTAAAACCTAAGCAACCCCAACCCTGAACACCAAACCCCGAACCCGACCCCAAACCCTACACAAACCCAAACCCCAAACCCGAAACCGTGTCAAGTGTGCGCCCTGTCCTCAAAAAGGATGCACACACTGGACTGCGAAGTCGAAAAAGACGTGCGCCGGACCGGCAAGTGCATGTTAACTAGACCCGGACCCCCGCCCCCTGTTTCTGAGAGGAGCATGCAGCAACACACGCTCCCTTCGATCGCAGCCACTGTTTCATGGTATTTGCATGTCTTCGCCATGCAAAACCTCTAATGGTAGGCGTCACCACAATGCCAAATCTCCACGCAGCTACATTATCCCAGAGTGCCAGCAACAAGAGTGCGTACCACCAAGGCCTACATAGTCATGGCCATCGATTCGGCGTGGAAGCTCAGAGTTGGAAAACGACCCGAATTGCGCGAGCGCTCGCGGGCTTCGTGCAGACTGCAAAAGGCGAGCCCCAGGCCAAAGATCTACGTCTGGCTGAAACTAGCCTACTGCTACTGCTAGCTACTGCTAGTTTGCTAAAGTTGCGAAGCATGGCATGCAAGGCTGAAACGGCTGAAAGGCTTAGTGCCGGGGATACACAACAGAAAACGCCTCTTTGTACACAGGCAGTTTCACCTGTGGATCAGAGGCTTTGCAGAATTTGATTTGGCCAATGCATCACGAATTTGTAGATCTGGATCTTGCTGCCAACCTCAGCGACTGGAGCTTCGCAAGGCCTTTCTGCCTTCATGTAGTCGAACATGTAGCGCGCAAGGCCGATGACGGACCCCCTTTGGGGCCCGTACCAGGTTCTGGCCCTTGGGCACGTCCAGAGCCAGGCCGGGGTCCGTCAGCCACTGCAGCTGGAAGCCTCTGTTGGGCGGACACCGAGGCTACGAGGCTTCCCGGCTTCCAAAAAGGGCAGCCGAAGAAGGCAGGCGGCTGATCTTGTCGGGGCTCTGATGCACGATCCACTTCCTGAGTTGCACATGCTTCTTGTGAAGCAAGGGGACTTCCCATGCACAGCCGCGGCAAAGCTGCAGGGCCACTCCCCTTGCTTCACAAGAAGCATGTGCAACTCAGGAAGTGGATCGTGCATCAGAGCCCCGACAAGATCAGCCGCCTGCCTTCTTCGGCTGCCCTTTTTGGAAGCCGGGAAGCCTCGTAGCCTCGGTGTCCGCCCAACAGAGGCTTCCAGCTGCAGTGGCTGACGGACCCCGGCCTGGCTCTGGACGTGCCCAAGGGCCAGAACCTGGTACGGGCCCCAAAGGGGGTCCGTCATCGGCCTTGCGCGCTACATGTTCGACTACATGAAGGCAGAAAGGCCTTGCGAAGCTCCAGTCGCTGAGGTTGGCAGCAAGATCCAGATCTACAAATTCGTGATGCATTGGCCAAATCAAATTCTGCAAAGCCTCTGATCCACAGGTGAAACTGCCTGTGTACAAAGAGGCGTTTTCTGTTGTGTATCCCCGGCACTAAGCCTTTCAGCCGTTTCAGCCTTGCATGCCATGCTTCGCAACTTTAGCAAACTAGCAGTAGCTAGCAGTAGCAGTAGGCTAGTTTCAGCCAGACGTAGATCTTTGGCCTGGGGCTCGCCTTTTGCAGTCTGCACGAAGCCCGCGAGCGCTCGCGCAATTCGGGTCGTTTTCCAACTCTGAGCTTCCACGCCGAATCGATGGCCATGACTATGTAGGCCTTGGTGGTACGCACTCTTGTTGCTGGCACTCTGGGATAATGTAGCTGCGTGGAGATTTGGCATTGTGGTGACGCCTACCATTAGAGGTTTTGCATGGCGAAGACATGCAAATACCATGAAACAGTGGCTGCGATCGAAGGGAGCGTGTGTTGCTGCATGCTCCTCTCAGAAACAGGGGGCGGGGGTCCGGGTCTAGTTAACATGCACTTGCCGGTCCGGCGCACGTCTTTTTCGACTTCGCAGTCCAGTGTGTGCATCCTTTTTGAGGACAGGGCGCACACTTGACACGGTTTCGGGTTTGGGGTTTGGGTTTGTGTAGGGTTTGGGGTCGGGTTCGGGGTTTGGTGTTCAGGGTTGGGGTTGCTTAGGTTTTAGGGCTTCGGGTTGTTCTGGCTTTATGCTTTCGGGTTTAGGGTTTATGAGGTTCAGGGGTTTAGGGCTTCGACGGCACTCCCCACCAGGATTTCGGAGCTGTCTGCAAGTGAGGTAACCGCCACGAATTCTCCAAATGCCAGGGTATCGACACGTCGTGGTGACATGAATTTGTCAGCAAGGGTTCTTGTCTCCAGGGCAGCTCCTTGCGGCCAAGGGATCGCCGGCAGTCTGATGACCTCTCTTTCAACATCTCTTCCGTTCCACCCATCATGGCTTTACATGCGACAGGGTAACAAGGGAGAGCTAGATCAGATCTTCGATGGCATGAGGTGCTAGCTCCATCACTCCCAGCCCTGCAGAGGTTATGCAGCAGTTATGCAGTGCTTCCTTTCTTTGCTAGGCTGATGTGGCCGAGGAGCAGGTCCAGGCAGACGATGCCAAGGTCCCGAAATCAGTCGTCTGTCAGCTTCTGGACCCAAGGTCGCGTGCGCGACCTTTTGCTGCTTTGATTCGCTCCTGCCTCTGTGGAAATGGACATGTCTGCAGGAGCCAGAGCCGGAGGTTCCCAAGGCCTCGAAGGCCAGGAGGAGTTAAAAGCTAAAGCCTTCGTAGCACCCAGCTCTGCAGTAAGCCTTGAGCCTTGAGTTGCCTGCTTCCAGGCCCCGCAGAGTGAGGAGGAGCGCTTGGAGCGACTGCTCCAGAGGCCCCGAGCCTCTGCAGCATGTTACATCTGAGTACCGTTCTATGCTGGTTGGGCTAGGCTCTTGACTCGATTTGCTTTCATCATCTGTCTGCTTCGCCTGAGCGCCGCCTCCATCCGTCACTCCGTCACTGTCACTTCACGGCGAGGGCCCGGGCCGAGGGCTTGAGCGCCTTCGGTTCGGAGGCCGCCATCTCGGCACTTCGCGCCGAGGAGGCCAACCGGAAGGGTTCGGGTCTGCGGCGTCAGAGAGTTCAGGCTTTGAGGTGAAAGGTTTATTTGAGTTTTGGGTTCACATGCGATGTGATTGAGCCGTGCGCGGTGCGATGCTGACCAGGGCCACGTGGGCAAAGCGCTGATCCGCCTGAGGAGGCCGCTCCGGTCCCAGAGCTTTCATTTAGCTAAAGATCCTGGCTTTTGCTGGGCCTGGGGCATTCAAAGGGGAGCCTGGAACGCTGCAGGCAGTGCAAAGAGGCCGCGGACGCCGGCACCACAACCGGCTGCAGGGGCGGCTATGCAGAGAGAAAAGAGGCGGACGCCGGCACCTCGCCACGGCTCACGGCTCTCAGGTCCTGCGGAGCGTCATGTCGTCGTCCTCACGTCCCGTCCCCTGCAGAAGACTCGCCGCCCTGCGCCGCCTGCAGCTGAAGATCGAGCTGCCATAGGAAGCGAATGCTAGCATCGTAGCCGCGTAGCCGCGTAGCCGGTAGCTGTAGCCATTGTAGCCTGTCTGATGGATGCCGTCAACGGGCCCACCGGAAATTAAGTTCCCCCTCCCCTTCCCAGCAGGTAGCTCCTGGAGTGGTGGATTCTCCCTGCATGATTGAGAAGAAGGGATTGGCATGTAGGTTCTGCGCCAAGGGAGTGGCGCGGCCTTTAGAGAGAGAGCCCAGCAGCATGGGGCCGCTCAAGGCGGGAGCTCTCTGATTCTGGATGCTTGCGGTTGATGATAAAAATCCTGCATGACCCATAATAAGGAATATACCATAATTCCCATATACTCCTTATTATGGGTTATCATCAACCGTTGTAGCTTCAGAGCTCAGAGCGACAGCCAGAGCTCCAGGCTCTTCTCTCTTGGGAGGTGCTTTGGCTACTGGTGCTCTGCCTCGCCTGGGCTCGGGGCTCGAGAGACATGGAGCCCGCCAGAAGCCGCCGAACCGCCAATGGGTCAAGAGAACTACGGGCTTTGGGTTTGAGGGTTTCGGGTTTGCACGTCAGGAAATATGTTTTTCTTTAAGTCCGGGGCGTTGTGCAAATCTAGTGCTTTGGCGCCCTGCTGCGCGCTTCCGAGCCTCCATCTTGAACTTTCCGGATCGAGAGCGTGTTGTACATCCGACGCGAACTAGACATGACACGACAACACCCCCAGGCGCCCCTGGCTCAAGTTAAACATGTTATTTGGACTTGCATAAACATGAACCGGTTCTTTGCAACAGACAGGTCGCTACAGTTACTTTCTACTTGTATGTTGCCTACGGGCCTCCCAGGTGCGTCCAGGGAGGCCCTCACGCCCGCGCACTCCCGCTGTCCGGCATTGTGGTTGGCTTTGTTGTCGGGCTTTGTTTACTGTCAGGGCGTTGTCTTTGACTTTCTTGTCGGGGTTGCTCTCTGGATCGTTTTCCCCGGAGGCCTTCGTCTTGGATTCCCTGCCTCGCCAGGTTGGGGCTGGGCAATCTGCATCGTGTTTCAGTTCTATTGATCACAGACTGTTGTTGGAAACTTGCTTAAGTGGAGTGACGCAGCTCACCTAAGGCCAAGCAGCCCTACTACGAGGTGCTGGAAGTCCCGAAGGATGCTGACCTTCGGACCATTAAGAAGGCCTCATTCGGATTCGGGGGCGGAAGCCGCATTCGCTGGTCTCGCAGAGGTTAGCAGGCAAAGAATCCGAGGAAGAAGGGCCTTCAGCGGCAGGCATACCGAGAGAAGGCCTTGGTTTGGCATCCGGACAAGAATCCGGACAATCGAGAGGCGGGCTGCTTGCATGACATCATCTGCGTCGACACATGAGAACGTTTGTGAGCTCTTCTGCCCAACCCAAGCCGAGCACCGAGTCGCGACTATTTGGAGGGTTGGAATGCGACTGTGCAAGCCTCCGAAACTGACAAAACAAGGTCATACAAGATCATTCAAAAGTAAGGTGATTCTGATGCTAGTCACCCAGCACTGCGTGATCCACCTGATGCTTGCTGGTCCGCAGTGATTCGTGCTGGGCCACAGACCTTGCTCAAGGAAGCGATTGTAATAACAACAAGGGGTTGCTGTGCAAAGTGGCAGGGAACGCACGAACTAGTCACATGGATCCCCGCGGAGCTGTTGGATTGTCTTGCCCTTGAAACCCTGCCAGCTCGAAGATCTTTGAACGCTTATCTCTTTCTCAGACTCAAGCATACAGACAGTACTTACTGCTGAACACTTGAAGAGACACACCTTCGGTAGCAGCGTGCCATGGCTCCGAGCGGCGGCGAGCCGCACGACACGGGCCCTGGTCGTTGCTCGGCAGATGAAACAGTGAGGGATGAGCAGAAGGATAAACGTGCCATGCTCGAGATGCTGCTGATTATGACCGTCAGCGAAACAATCACGATGACGTGTGTGTTGCGGTTAGGCAAAAAATCGAGACCCTTGTTGTCCGTGCGCATGGCAGTCAACCTCCTAGGCAATCATAACCGACAGGTAGTAGCAACAGGAAGCGATCAGAGTAATGATGTTCATGGTAGTGATGATGCTGATGAAAACCAGTGGCAATAGCTCAACATGGATAATTAGTTAGGGCTATAAAAACTAGGGCGACGACAATACTTCTAGCAAGTAGTGTTACAGTAGCAGCGATCATCATCACAGAATACTAAAGGATATGTGACAGCAATGCCAAACATGATCCAATGGACATGCTTCTTTCGGTTTTGCAAACATTTACGACGTGTCAATATCGCGAGTGCACGGTGGCAACCACGGCAACATGGTGATAGACCACAGTAACATCTGAGCCATGGTGTGGTGATGGCGGTGCCGGCACCGCGATCGCTGCCTCGACCACTCACTACCACTGCTACCGCTACTGCTGCTACCGCTACGACTACTGCCACCTCTCCCGCTGCCGCTTCTCCTACTCCCCTAACCCCTATTGCTACGACGACGACTGCTACACTACCACTACGACAGCAGTACTACTATTGCTACTGCCGATTGCTGTATCGACGGTCATGCGAATGATAGGCAGAAGAATGGTGACCATGACTGCAGTGATGGCAATGATCACGCTGACTGTGTCAAGAGCCCCAGCGGAGAGAAGTTACAATCATAGCAAAGCTGAGGTTAGTCGCATTCCTGCTTAGAACCACCTTGCCAATTCCCGCCCGCAGAAGCCGAGGGGTCGTAGCATCCGCAGGCTTTCTCCAGGATGTGCATCACGCGAAGCCGCGAATACCAGGCCACACGCGAGTGTCGTCACCTATTCAAGTTTAGACGAGTTCGGGCTGTGGAGTTTTCCTCTGAAGCTGCAGCATGTGCCGTCTAGAATGATGGCAGACAGTTACCGCCGTCAGTTTGCGAGGGAGCTGGATCGTAAAGGTCTGCAAAGCTGCGACGGCAAAGGCATCATGTCGGGGATCTCACGAATGTTTCCCTGTGCATCGGGTTGCTACTGCAGAAGCCCTGAAGCAGCGCGCCGGCTTATCGTGATAGCCGCAGGGCCGGATGCGGAAGATGTGCTGCCTCAGTGGTCGCTGAAGGTCGGGAGGGCATCGAACAGTTTGGTTTCGGGTTCCTGTCACTCCCTAATGCTGCGTGGTTGCGGCGGGTGGAGACGGCAATCTCATTCTCATGAAGCATTTGCGCAGAAGGGAAGCAGACGGGTGGAGACATCACTTGCAAAGGACGGTCGCTTGGCGCTGCCTCCGAGCCCGCAGGCTTCTTGGGTCAATAGGGCAGCTCCGCTTGCCCAGGGCCTGAGATCCCGAAGCAACGGCTATGTTGTCGGTACGGCTAACCTTGCTGCCACTTCATCGCTTTGCTGATTGGCGACATGCTTAACGAAATAGCTGAGATCAGATGGATGTGAAGTCAGAAGGGGTCTATGCTGTGCAGTGCTTGCGACACCGATTCCGTGCTGTGCACCTTCGCTGCAACGAAGGGGAGGACTCGAGTCAAAACGGCGAGCGACGCATCGATGGACAGCCTGTCGCCGCGAAGTCTCGCCGCAATCTCAGCTGGATCGGAGCTGCGATTCACGCGTTTCGCCTCACACGCCGTGACTTGCCGAAGCGAAGCTAAGCCTGGCGATTTCGACGTCCGGATTTTGGAAATGTTTTGCTTCCGGAACTATGTCGTACTACCGCAGGACAAAAGTTCGCCACACTACCTGTATACCTCAACATATGCAGTGCTGCCACCCCTTTCCCCCCTAGATCCGCCGAGAACATTATAGTAGTATAATTTTATTCCAGGAAATTAACTACTCCGCCTCGCTGGCTACGTAAAACGGACATTTTTCCACTCCGCTTCTCCGCGGTATATGTTCATGTATTTTGATAATATCCTCCGTATGTCGAAACTTTTGTCCCGGTGATGTATTTTCGCTCTCCGGAATTAGAAGAACCTGACTTGTGTTTCCAGACACTGTCCAGCCGTCGAGGACTCGTGGATTTCTCTTGTCCGTGCTTCATGGCTTTGGAATGTCAAGACGCCGTGACAAGTGCATTGTTGGACGAGATATTGTATATTGGATACTAGACAAAGATTCCCCGTGTGTGTCAAACGCAGAAGGCGCGACCGATGGTGGCATCCCAGGCCTTCTGCCAGGGGACCATAGATTCCACCTTGAGGGTCCGAGCGGGTGCGGTTTTGTTTCTTTTTGCATCGCTTTTCTCATGTATTGCGTAGGGCCTGGGGGGCACTCCAAAGAGCCTAGCGCAAGCAGCAAATGCTCACCGCGACTTCAAGTGTGCTGGGGCGTGTAGACCAACTTGTTACAAAATCGCAGATGAGGAGTTCATGCAGCCGAGCCCGAAGTCTCAGAAGTGGGTTTCTGCCTCAGGCCTTCCAGGCGCTGATCGACCAGCTCGTGAGCCAGCATGTGCCTCTGCAGATTTTGCCGGAGATGACGCCTTAAAAACCGCCCCTCAACACGCCCCTCAACGTTTGCGTCTCGCGCGAGATTGCGCGGAGCATTGACGTGAGGCCACAGAGCTGGAAGCGCTTCGAGCGGCCTTGTCGAGGAAGGAGGAGTCGCCGGCGCTGTCGCCCACTCTGGCCGGGATGCGCCGGGGAAAGCTGAGACATGTCTGGGCTGCCTATGGCCAGAGCTTCCCCGGAACCTGAGGGGCAATAGGGACCTATTGCCTAGTGCTGCCTTGACCCCATGAAAACCCGATATCTCAATTGGTCACTCGGAAATCAATTGGAGGTGGGTATGGAGCGAATGATGCCTCTCAGAAAGCAACAAGCGAGTCTGTTTGCAGTTCCTCGCTCCTTTGCACTCGGATGCTTTTGTTTGGATTCGTAGGCCTTGGCTTCACTGAGCCATGGAGCTACAAGGGCATTCTGGCACATGGTCTGAGCGACCCATTCTTGTCATTCTTGTTCCTTCCGTTCTTGCCCATCTGTTTAAGGACGCCGAAGTCGGTGAATTCGAACCTCAGCTTCCCGGGCCCGTGGCGAAATAAGCGACTTTCCTCACAGTCCGTCGCTTGGCCGACTGTCCATGTTCTGCAATTCTAGCCGTCCTCGTCCTACTCGTAGTGACAGCTGGAGACTTAGCAGTGGCTTACTTTTTTTCTTGGTAGGCATTGTTAAAGCCGGAGGAATGGTGTTGTCGGCTATCGAAATCAGTGGTGCCACGAAGTAGGAGAGAACGAGGATGAGGAAGAGCCTTCGGGAGCAGCAGGACCACTAGGAGCCAAAAATTGCAGTGCACTGAAGGTATCGGTTTAGGGTTTAGGATTTAGGATTTAGGATTTAGGATTTAGGGTTTAGGATTTAGGGTTTAGGGATTCAGAGAGCAGTAGTAGGGGTGCTCCCAGAAATGTGGGGCTACGCGGGGGAGCAGCGTTTGACGTGTAATTGGCGGCACCGTCTCGGCCCGCCCGCGTCAGGCGCTCGTGGATGCGAACACGATCCTCGAAGCCTGGGATGAACAGGAGAGAAATCGGGGAGAGAGAGAAATCAGAGAGAGATCGGAGAGTTTTGAGACTGGTGGCCGTGTCCGATATATCACTGGGAGGAGGGTCTTCGGATTAAGACTTGGGCAGTGAGCACAGAGGGGTTCATGCTGGAGATCGGCAGCAAAATGACTGGTGTGGGCTGATGCTGCAGTACCGTGCGCTCAAAAACCACGTGCGACTCAATCGTTTTGGAGCTTGGAAGGAACACCTGGAGATGCGAGACATCCAGAACCAGACGCGGTTCTCGACCAGTGAGACGCTCGTCTGCTCAGTGGAGGAATATCGGTTTGGGACGCGGCTAAGATGCCGGGTTCCGACAGGATGATTTCTGAGGTCTGGAGTTCTATCCCGCTGGAAGTTCACGAGTTACAGCTGCGCATCAAGAACATAAGCTGTTTGTAGCGTACGCAGTGTTGTAGCTGGTTCATGGGCGCAGCAATGCTAGCCCTGGTGCATTGAGGTCGGATACTCCAACGCGTTCCGATGCTTGGAGAAAGTTGATCATCCCCCTTCTCCATAAACCCATGACCGTACACCGTACTGCTATGGGATCTTCGACGGCTTCCAGGAACGCTGCCAAGATTTCCTCGTCTCGGCTACGTACGAGGCCTGCGGCCTGCATGTGAGCAGTTCGCGTGCCGGGGAGGTTCCGTGTTTCCGCCCTCAGTGTCAGATTCCCTCCCTCTTGACAAGCAAAGCTGAAAGCTCGGAGCCGAAGACCAAGAAAGCGCGCTCTGCTCTCAGGGTATTATGGCCGGGGTCCTCGTTGCGAACATGCTCCCTGGACAGGAAGGCTGTGTTTCTTGTGCTACGACCTCTGACCGGTGTTGCATTCAGTGTCATCACAGCCTTGCGTATGAGAGTTGGTTATGAGGTAGTTTGGGTGGAATCGTGAGTTGGAGACCGCAAGTTCACGTGTGATGTGGCATAATGATGAAATCTAACCTGTGCGAGATGGGACTCAAGGCTTATCGACCAATCCAGTACAGTAGTCAGTCCTTTCATTCCGACAGGCGTTTCGTTGCCTCTTTGTAGGTGCTCGAGCTTGAGCCACCGTAAGATGACCGCACTTCGATTTGTGCATGTCTGCCTGTGGCCATGCTAGCAGCAATGAGTACTACCGTTTTTTCAGAGGCTACTACCCTTTTTGATGATGACTTTGAGCGATGTCCGGAGTCTGCCCTTTGCCCTTGAAAGGCATATCTTCCCCTTCCCGGTGCTTACTGCAGCAGCAGAGATGTGCCGAAGCGTCGAACGCAACGCGTGGCTGTTTTTCGATTTGCCTGCCGCAAAACTGGCTACCGAGGTTGTGGATGGCCTGGACGGTGCAGGTGCAAGGCGAACAGCCCCTTTGCTGCCACTATTTCCGTGTACTCATACCTCTGGCCAAGCCCGGCGTCAGGTCCCTCCTCCAGCCGCCAGCCCACCTCCCTCTACGAACGTACACATGTCATCGGACAAGGATCAACACCCTCACCGACACTTCTTTCGGAGTGGGCATGGAAATCTGGAGGCAGGACGTGCCATGTAGGCGAGGTCTGTGATTCCCGAAGCGCCAGCAGCGGGACTACCTTTGAGTGTCGGTAGTTCGGTGGTTGTTCGAGAGTGAGGTTGGATTTTTGTTCACATTCTTATCGATCTTGGGTGGGCAGTTGCTGGTGACACAAAGATACCAGCGACGCTTGTATAGCTTTGCAGTTCAAAAAGAAATGTCCGGATCAGAGCACGTGTGAGGGAGATCTTCTACCTCGGCGACGCCATCTTCGTGACGCAGCTCAATTTTTGGGCCTAGGGCAGTCATGGTGTTTACTATACGGTAGCCCGGCGCATCCGCGAGGAAAGGCTTGGCTCCATCACTTCCCAGAGCTTGAACTTCTCAGAAGCAAGCGTCGTGTGAGCTGAGGCCGGCCTCTACATTGGAGACGCTTGCTTGAGGATCCTGGGGCTGGGCCGAAGATTTTGGCCCGCCGGCACGAACTTCCTTGTGACCTTCGCGGTTTCCAGCTCTTGGTTGTACTCCTGGGTCGTTTTTTGCGCATCTATGTAAGTTGAGACGGAGAGCAGGCATGGCAGGCCCCAGGCCCCGGATCGTTTTCTCCCACACGCGGTTTTTCCAGCCATCTACTTTGAAGTAACCCTTACAGCGAGAGGAAGAGGCACATGTGCACAAAGAGAGAGAGAGAGAGAGAGACATAAATCCCCTACAGTATCTTGATTTGGACCAAGGCGGACCTGCATGAACTGCCTGGACTTCGTGGTGGCCGGCTTCTGCGTTGTGGAAATCTTTTGGCTCCTGTCGGCCGACAGTTCCGACGTGAACTTCGACTTTTTCCGCTTGCTGCGCGTCGTCAAGCTGACGAAGGCGCTGCGCATGTGCCTGGGTCGCACGCAGCCAACTCCCCTACGTGTTTTCACAATCTGTAAGTTCCCAATGAGAGAGAGAGAGAGAGAGAGAGAGAGAGAGAGAGAGAGAGAGAGAGAGAGAGAGAGAGAGAGAGAGAGAGCGCGAGAGAGCGACGGAGCGCGAGCAGGGGAGCGCGGAGGGAGCCGGACCGCGCCGCCCTGGCGCTGTCTTTGAGGTTCAGCGTCGCAGTGGGCCACGCTCCCCTGCAGCTGCTGGTGAAATGCTTGGAAGCGAGTCGAGGGATGCTGCGCCCCGGCTGCGCTCTCAGCGGCGGAAGCCGAGCAGCCGAGCCGGCCCGAGCCCCACCGAGGTTTTGGTCCTTCTGCTTGTTGTCTCTTCTGCAGCTCCTGGCTGGGGTCGTGGTGAGCATGCTGGCTGCCCCGTACTTGCTAGACGACGGGAACGACCTGCTCAAGCAGGAGGAGGTGCGTTCCGTTGTGCCCTGTAGCGGAAGCTGCGGAGCCGGGGGCAACCCTGAGGTCTTCCGATACTACGGGACCTTCTCCCGAACCTTCCTCACCATGTTCGAGATCATGCTCCTGCGCTCAGAAGTGTGGCTTCTTTCGGATTGCATTGGCACGCCGTGTGCCGTGTGCCGCTTGCACCTTCGTAGTACCTCCGTGGCCCTCACACACCTTCCACGAAGCTCGAAGGCTCGAAGAGCACGTGCCCAACCAAACCAGCACAGAGCCTTCGAGATTTCGGTACTCGTGGGTCCCGTCTGCTGGGGCCTTTCAGTGGCTGTGACAAAGCTTGCATCAAGAGATGTGCGGTTTAAACTCAAAGAATGAATCTCTAGCAAAGCTCTGCCAGAGAGGGAGTTTGCCTGCTTTTGTAAAGTAGCCATATCTGGTCCATTGTAACCGACCGCGGCAACAATCCATAAAGTGCCAACTTGCTTGGTCGGACATTTGTTGTTGGATTTCGGCTTCTGGAGCTTTGGATCGAGACAGGTGCAGGTGCTTCCGGCATTATGAAGGTTTCTCAACGGGGCAGTGTCCCCCGAATCGACTGTGCAGCCTCCTTCGAGGTTTGAGTGATCCCGAATCTCAGCCCTCTGCCCAATTCTTATGTGCATTGTCTCGCCAATGCAGGATGAGCCTCGGGGTATCGGAACTACGCTAGTGACACGTGATATGATTGACGACCGCCCGAATGGGTTTGCTTGCAGCTGCCTTCGCGAGGTTTGCCAATTGGGGGCCGGCCTGTCGCGTGCTCGTCGACAACATCTCCGAGTGGTTCGCACTCTTCTTCCTGCTCTACCGCCAAGCCCTCGAGAACCGGATTGCAGCCCGAAACCACAACCAAACCTTCAAACCCGCACCAAGACCCATGACCAGCGCACCAAAACGACCCCAACTCTCACCAAGAAGTTGCTGCAGTCACCAAGCTTCCAAACCACAGACTTGGCAAGAACAAGCGGAATACTCGCAGCTGCACAGCGACACAACGGTCGAATCCTTGACAACTCAGCTCCTTCTCAGCATGGTGTCGTGGTGTACCAAGACTCACCGCTAGTGTCCGTAGTGCCGCCTGGGCAAGTCTTGGTCATTCACGAAGCAGACCAGGCTCCTCTAGAAGCCATTGCAGTTCGATAACTGTTCGGATGGAAACCCCCAGCAACTGTTTCTTAGCTTGGTACAGCAGCAGAAACATGAAGTTGTCCTCAGCTGCAGACGAGCCGTCGGCCAAGGAGACGCAGACGTTACCACCACCTACCCATGCTGCACATTCGTTGAAACGTTTTGAAGCTACTTGCTTTGCATGGTCTTGGCAGGAGCTTCGGCAATGGCGGCGACGCAATGCGCTCTTGCATCCTGAGGCATGGCTTCCAGGTTTGTTTCTTCTGAAAGCCACCGCGCCGACATGTCCTTGCATATTCCAGATCTTGACCTTGACACTTGTGCTCCACATGTTGACTTCGGTCAGGGAGAGGAGGCCACTGAGAAGCTTTTGCGGCAGGCCAGCACTCGGAGTGAGGCAACAAACTTCCACCTTTTCGGGTTTAGGCTTTGCTTGCCACTGAACATGTCCTGTGAGCACGAAGCTGGCTGGACATGCGCGCGCTGCAGCTGGGCCGGATCGAAGCGCCAGAGTCTCTGCGCCGCTGGGCTTTCTGATCCGAAAGCACGAATGTAGCGAAAGCTTGACGCTTGCAACTTCCAAAACTGCAAGACGCACATCCAGGTACCGGGCGCCACGTTGCAGCACCGTTTCGCCATTGGCGAAGTGGTGAAACGTGGCTTGGAGGCCCGCGATCGCGCTTTTGACAGCTCTGGCGGCTCATGAAAGCGTGATTGCGTCGCTGGACTTGGTGACCTTGGGCTGCAGCCCATCTCTTGTAGGTGACAAGAAATCTGCGTCTTCAATGGTTTCGCAATCTTCAGGACGATGGACTTGCATTTACAGTTGATGAAGGGGGGTTATCAGACTCAGAACATCTAAAGAATTTCAATGTACTCCTGCTACAAGTAGTGTCAGGGTTGAGGTTTCAGGAATCAGGGTTTAGGTGAGGTGAGGTCAGGTGAGGTCAAGCCAGGCAAATCAGGTCAGATCAGATCAGGTCAGGTGAGATCGTATCAGATTCAAAAAACCGCGGCTCAGATCAGACAGTCCAGGTCACAGCAACTCAGGTCAGGTCAGGTCTGCTCAGGTCAGCTTAGGTCAGCTCAGGTCAGGTCAGTGCCGGTCAGATCAGATCCTTGTTGTGCGTGCTCTTCCGAGGTGACCGGGAATGGAAGTTCCGGAGGACAAATTCATTGACGTTTGTGTTTGCTCCTGTATCCACATCCGGTCCAAGGTTCGTAGCCTTTGGTCGATAAAGCACAATCGGTCGAGAACGTCGGCAGTGTAGATTCCAGAGATACTTGACACCTGAATCGTTCATGGCAAGGACCGCCGGACATGCAATGCTCTCCGGGCCGAGCGAGCAAAAAAAGTTGGCGCACTTGCATTTGTTTTGGCGCAGCCCCCGTCGGCTAGGTGCGTGTTCAGCTCGTTTGGTGCGTGTTTCGGTTGTTTTGGTGAGCGTTAATTTTTGCAACCTCGAGAACCGGAGGATGCGTCGAATCTTCCAACGTCCAAGTTCTCTGCTCCGCTCCGAGGCTGCGTCTTTGGCTTCGCGGTGCTCAACGTAGCAGCTCCGATGCAAGCGTCGCCCCGTTCCGGAGCCCTCCCAGGAGCCTTGTTTCAGCTGCCACCCGAAAAGCTCTGCTGCTTTCCCGCTCTGCGACGCTGAGGTAAACTCAGTGTTTGTCCAGCACCTGGGCGGCATGGTAACTTGCTCTGGGTCCTTCTTTAGTTACAGTTTGAAACAGATAGTAAAACAGCATCCAGTGAACATGCAGAGACACACATGCAGGCAGACGATGAAAACCGCCACTTCCGACGAAGAGCTGGCTTTCAAGCAGAAGGTCAGATTCCGTGGGTCAGCCGGGGTAAGCATTGGGGCCGTTGGCCGGGGATTCGTTGTTCCGGCTCTGGACATTCAACAAGATGCCATTGGCGTCGGCGACTGCCGTCACGAGGTCCAAGCTACCAAGTTCCGCCTGTGACGTGTGGTCGAACCCAGAGACCCGCAAGTTACTGCCCGCCAAGACCCATGGCCGACACTCTATCGCAGGCTCCCAATCCCGCTCAGGGTCGGTTAATCCGGGATGCCCTGTGCATGCTGCGTTGCATATTGTAGAGTTTCGCAACAGACCTTGGGAGGAGAAGGACATCTCTCAGTACAATCGGAAAGCCGCTTGGAGGGGAGTCGGAGCTTGAAAGCTTCTGCCTCTCAGAGTAGCTAAGTAGCTGGGCCCTGCTTGGCCATCCGTAAAGTCTGCCATCTCCCACCTGAAAACTCGAACCTGAAAGCGGAGTCCTCCCCCTCCTCCCGGTGTGTTGCGCGGACCGCTCAGGTGCGGAAGCTCTTTCAAACCATCGACTCTTCTGGAGACGGTGCGATCAACTTGGAGGCCACACTTGGACTTGCGTCTCTGTAAAGGGGAAGATGCGCTTTGCAGAGGACGCCTTGCGTAGCATAGCGTAGCATCGAAAGCTCTGTAGAGATCGTGCTCGCGCGCTCCGCTCGTGCATGCTTTCGCCTCGCACGTGCGATGCGCTTTCCCGCCGTTCCGCCACGCTACGCCGCACGCCGCTCTCAGGCTGGCCGGGGAGGCTGCGCGTGCTGAGCGTGCGGTTTTTTCTTCTTGTCTGTGCCGTGCTTTGCTCCGCTTTGCCATCCTGCGTTTCCTCCCACTCAAGGGGAGCCATTCGTCCGATCACATGCTGTCCGCAGGGAGGTATGTTGCAGGACTAGAACAGCCTCTGAACAGGGCGGTAGGACGAGGAGGGAAGCTTTGCAGTGGTGGAAGATCGAGCCAGGCTCCTTGTTTTGTTTTCGCAGACCGAACTTCCGATCGCACGATCCCAATAGCCTGATACTTCGTGACAGCTCCCTGGGCACAGGAGTTCGAAAAGCTGGTGCAGTCACCCAAGCTGAGCTTCTGGATGAGCCAATTGGAGTTGCTCGGACCGCAGGGGAGTACCGCTTTCTTGAGCGCAAGGCTTCCCTGCACCGAAGTCAGACCCTTTCCATCCAACTGTGCTTCATTGGGGGGCGGCCTCAATAGGTGTGTGGAACTTGCACATTGGCAGGAGATGGGCAAGAAGAACTGCGTAGACAAGGGCCCGCGACTGCACAAGCGGCCTGTAAAGGGCAACTACTCATGAAAGTCAGACGGCTCCATGCACTGCCGTGCCTGCTGTGCCGAGTCGTAAACATGACATGCCGTGTCCAGCTCCAGTCAGTTGCTAAGTGCCAAAACTGCTTCATGCTTGAGCGCACCCCGAACACCTGCGCTGGTGGGGAACGCAGCCGTGCGGGAGCGGAGGAAGCGAGGTCGAAGATCTCCCGTCTCGAGGGAAAACTCTACATCTCTTGGCATCCCAAACCAAGGGTTGTGGTCACCGGCCCTTCTCTGCCTCGTCGCCGAAAGGCGGCGCACCCGAAGCATCGCATGCGGCGCAAGACGAGCACCGCGCGCAAGCTGAGCTCGGGCTGAGACTCCCACATGCCTTCTTCTTTGTACTAGCAGCCAAACGAATCCCCAGCAAAACCGTTTATGAAACCCAAGAGAAATGGTGACCCTTATGGAAGCTGGGAGAGCACAGGTTGGAGTACCACGACTTGCTGAGCCTCTTCGAGTTCCTGGACAACGGCGCCTTGGTCAGGGCTAGGGCCGCAAGGGCCGCAAGGGCACGTGGTTTTTTTTGGACTTCCTGAAACCGGGATCCAAGCCTTGAGGCTGTCCCAGTCATAGGAGCTTCTTTACGCCTCAGACGCAAGCTCTTGGCAACTCTTCGCAAGGATCACGGACTAGGCAAGGAACAAGGATTTCGTGATGGGGTTGGCGGTGGTCCCTCTCCACTTAAGAGGCCGTTCTTTTTCCTATGAAGCCCTGCCAGGCGATGGCCAGATCACGTGGCTTGGGCCAATTGGAACACTGGGAGCATGCAAATTCTCTTAGCAACAGCTGACTGTGCAGGGTCCAACCTCGTTGTGCATCTGGCCCCTGGCCCTCCAAGGCTTTCAGAGTTCATCGAGGGCGCTGGACGCTTGAGGGGCAGTGCGAAGGCTGCTGCTCAACGCGGATGCCACCGCATGCTAGGACATGATATGCACATCTGTATTTTTGTTTTAGTGCCTTGCTCACACACACAGATATGTACATGTATATAAGTGTATGCATCTACATATATGTATACATATATACACACCCAACTACATATACCTTCACGCACACGTACATGCATCAACCCATCCATGAATCCATCCATCCATCCATCCATCCATCCGTGCGTGCGTGCGTGCGTGCGTGCGTGCGTGCGTGCGTGCGTGCGTGCGTGCGTACGCTAATGTGCATGCATGCATGACTTCAGCATGCTTTCTGAGCCTCTCTTTGTAGCTTTTCGGATTAAGGCTTTGGATGGCCCTTAGGCCCGTGCAGGCTTCCCTGTTGGGGGGCTCCTTGGCTTCGTTGCTTTTTCGGGCTGCGGATGACATTCTCCCCGGTGTTCTTGAACCACCGCCTTCCCTGCCTCTCGTGTGTCCGGTGCTCGAATTCCCGGAGTCCATTCACTGGCCTTCTCTTCTCCTCGGGATCCTCTTCGGGCTCCTCCTTGGCCCTGCCATTGACCTGCTTTACCTCTTCAGGGTGTGGTGGTCTTCTGTTGTGCGTGAGCGACTGCTTGTGCTCCGCGCTCGGCCTGGGCCTCTGTTCCGTGTGCTCTAGTTTTATGAGCTCTCAGGACTCCACTTTGGCCCTTCTCGTTGCCAGCGTCTCGGATCTGACTTTGGAGGTTCGGCGCCTCAGCTTGGAGGTTCGGTCCCTGCAGCTGCTCGTTGAAGGCCGACCCGGCGGCCGGGAGCCCGACCGCGCTTAGCCGAGCGCCCCTGTCCACCAGAGTGCTTCTGCTGGCACTCCGCCTCTGCGCATGACCTCCTCACCGGCCAGCCCGGCCCCTCCCACCACAGTGGGTCAACTGACGGACAGTGAGCGCCGCGACCTTGCCAGGCGCATTGGCCACTGGGTGCGTCGCTGCCTGCACAAGAACCACCGTGGCCCCAGCGGGCGTGAGGAAAACCCTTTGGCCAGCCGAGTGTATTTGGTTGCGCGTGATCAAGCGGGCTTCAGCCACGACCCGCCCCTTTTGTTCCGGAGATTTCCGGAGCTTCGGTGCGGGAAAGAGCTGGGTCAAGCCTGCGGGCTACGTCCCTGAGCATACCGTTTTCATAGGCCTGCCTTCTCAGTGGGAAGCAGCCATCGTTGCTGAGGCTGCCGGCTTGAGGCCACCTCTGGACCGAGATGGCGGACGCTGAGGAGAGTTCGGAGGAGCCCGAGCGGCCGCATGACCTTCATTATGTGGTTGCTGGGGGCTCTGTGAATTATGATTTCGAGATTGGTGCCCTCACTGTTGGAGACGGTGACTCTCGCCGCACCATCTCGGTTATAGTTGTGGCGCCTTTTGAAGAGCGCCTCCTTGCGGTTTTTCCGCACAAGGCTTGGGACAAGCAAGCTAAGAAGCGCAAGCTGCCCACCGGCCCTTTTGCAAAACCTGTGTTAGTTGAGGTTGCGTGTGCCTCGCCCCTGGACAGAACTGCCGTGTCCTCCGAGCCTCCTGTGAAAGTGTGGTTCGGCATGTTGTCGCGGCAGCTGGCCGACCAAATTGTCTTCGACTCGGGCGACTTGCCCGACATTTCATTTGGCCCTCCTGAGGCCCCTGTGCTGCCGTATGCCCCGGCTTTGCTTGAGCTCGCCGAGAGCCAGTTTGGGTATCAGTCTGCCTTGAGCTCCTACGGTGCCAACCCCCCTGACCCCTTTGAGAGCCGATTCCGGGCCAGGCCCTTGAGAACTCCCTCGGCCACAGCGCCAGCGTGCAGATGCTCGTGAACCAAGGGCAGGCGCCCGCTCCGCCGGCCGGCCGTGCAAAGGGTGCAGCGAAGCCGAAAGCAGCTTTGAGCAAGACCGTGACCGCAAGGCCTGATGCCGGCGCAGGTGCCGGATTTATCCCGGGGACGCCTGCTCCCCCCGGCCGTGCGAAGGAAGTACCAGGCCTTGACCCTGCTGTTGTGAAAGCGGCCTTGGACTCGGGGGTGTCACGGGGCGAACTCAAGGAGCTCAGCTCTCTGATGAACAAAGGCCGCGGCGCCCTTCCCGACTTCCCCGCCGGCCGTGCCGCTGACGATCTGGGTGAGGTCTCCGACTTTGGGGGCAGCGGCGGCTCGGAGCAAGGCGAAGCACCTGGCTTGAATGCCGGCCCTTGTGCAGGATAAGCTTGATGCTCGCCCCAGCAATATGGTGCAACTGGGTGACAACCGGTGGCTTGCCTACATGCCCACCTTTGCCGCCTTGTTGGGCATCGAACTGCGTGAAGGCGAAGCACTTTGGGCTTCCGGCACTGACCTCAGAGACTACTGTCACAACTTCCTGATATCTCAGGGGCGTGCCCACCTCTACCGCTTCGCCGGCACATTTTCGCCGAAAGACTTGGCTGCCCTGAAGTGCTTCAGGCCCGATCAGCGCAGCCCTGGCCACCATGGCCATGGGGGACCTGAACTCGGTCAGCTTTGGCCAGGGGAGTCACATAGGCCTGCTCCTTGCTTTCGATGTTGTGCCCCTTCGGCCTTGATGAGCTTGCGTGGTCGGCCCAGCCGTGGTGACCTCAGCCTGGGGGTCGTCATAGACGATTTGGTCGTCCTCGAAAAAGCTTTGCTAACCCGGGGCCCGACACAATCAGCCGCCGTCATGGACCGAGCCTCCGCTGCCTACGCTTCGGCCTTTTTTTGCGGTGCATGCAGGAAAGACCGTCCGTCAACAACACCGCGCCTCCTTCTGGGGTTCTGACCTCGACGGCCTCCAGGGCACAGTGCGGCCTTCCTGGGCCCGGCTCATTCCTTTGTTGGGTTTGACGACAGCTTGCCTGCGCCTGCCCGTGCTGACCGTCAGCCTGTTGGAAGTGCTCGCCGGGTCCTGGGTGTTGGTTCTGTCGTTCCGCAGGCGCTGCCTCTGTTTGCTGAACTGGGTGTACGTTCTCCAAAGGGCCAGAGCCGGACCGATGTGGTGCGACCCCCGCCCGGCCTTCGCACGGAGCTCTTTACCCTCTGCTTGATTGCTCCCTTTCTGGTGTGCGACCTGCATGCCCAGTCGAGCGACCTGCTCGTGGCCAGCGATGCCTCCGACAATCGCGGCGCAGGCGTCTCGACTCGGGTGGGCCCCAGCTGGGCCTGAGAGCTGCAAAGGCACGTGTTGGCTAAAGGCCACTGGAACAGACTCCTCAGGCCTAGTGAGGCTATGCTGCGCCGGGCCGCCTGCCTGGACTCTGCCGACGAATTGCCGGGCGAAGCCTACCGCACCCACGCCATGTGGACCCTTGCTGTGCCGCACACTGCCCTTCTCTCTCGTCGCGGACTTCCCCCGGCACCCGGGCCGGCACATAAACCTGAAAGAGGCGGAGAGCTACTTGATTGTCGAAGAGCGTCTAGGGGCCGGGCTTTGGAAAGCTCCCGCAGCATAGGCTTGCTCGATTCCCAAGTCGTTTTAGCCTTGCTGAAGGGCCGCTCGAGCTCGGAAGCCCTGAATGTGGTCGTGCAGGCCTCGCTGTCGAGTTACATTTTCTTCAATTTGCATCCTTCTTTTTCCTTTGTGGCTTCGGAAGATAATCCAAGTGATGACCCGACTCGCTTCAAAGAGCTGCACGCCCCGAGCCTGCCTCGGCTCTTCTGGTTTCTCGCAGGCTCCCGGGGTGACTTTGCTCCCCTCGACCGTTTCCTTTCAGATCTGGACCTTCTCCCCGAGCAGATCCAAGGTCTCCCCCAGCTCCTCGCCAGCTTCAGCTCACGAAGCGGTCTCCCTCTGCCGCCCCAAGAGCCTCGTCGAGCTTTCTCCGATGCTCCTCGTGAACAAGACTTTGCAGAGGCCCCCGCCTCTCGTGAGCATGTTGCCGGGCCCGATGGTGCTGCGCAACACTCCGGCGCATTTCAGGGGACTGTTGCCCTCGCGGGTTCGGTGAAGACGTTCTTTCTTCGGTGTGCTGCGGGCCAGTTCCTCTGGCCCAAGGGTCTCCGACCGCCTTCTTCGGCCGCGGCGTGCCAGTGTACCTTTGTCTCTTCGCAGGGAACCGATGGACATCGGCCTCCGGGTCCCCGCTCTCACCTTCGAGTGGCTGGATTCGCCTGCCCAAGACCTACAGAACACAGTCCTTCAGGAGACCATCCTTGAGGCCCTCAGGCTTGGTGCTTTCGCCGGCGTCGGCATTTCCACCTTCTCTCTCGCCTCCTCCCCGCGCCTCCGGTCTTGGTCTGAGCCTGCAGGCCTGCATGGACTTTCTCCTTTGAGCCAGGCCAAGGTTGACAGCGAAAATAAGCTTGCCGACTCACTGGGACCGTTGCCGGCACTTGCCTGGACTTGGGCGTCCCTTTCTGGGTCGATGGCCCTCAGACCTCCCTCTTTTGGAGGTATCCCTCGATCGCCTGCCTCTCCCTCCGCAGCTCGGCCTTGGGTTTCTGGACTTTCGACCGCTGCCGTTTTTCAGAGCCATGGCTGAAGCGCACCCGGGTGCTCACGAACACTGACCTGGCAGGACGGGAGGACTTTTGTCGTGGGGGCCACCGGCACTCGATGCTACGAGGCCGACGCCCGAACTTAGGTGACTGCACAAAACTGGCCCAGGCGTTCCCGAAGCAAGCCGCCGAGGTCCTCGCAGCGAGCCTGTGGAAAGCAGCCTCCTCGCCTGGACCTGTTGGCGCGGGACCTTCTTTTACTGGCTCTTTGAGGGTTGGAGAAGCGAAGGTCCCGGGACCTCGCAAATTTCGGGTTCCTCGCTCCGGCTCCCTCTTCGACGTGGAGCTCATCGAGCAGGGTACTCTGAAAATGCGTGAGCAGATCTGGCAGGTCTTTATCGGATGGCTGCGGGAAAACGTTTCTGGAGACGCCATCCTGGCTTTATTCCGCTGCCCGCCCCTCCTGGCACTGGTCATGCGAGACTATGGCGACGTTCTTTATAAGACAGGTTTTCCTTTGGGATAGTACAGGCAGCTGCTTGCGCACGCGCAGAAGATATACCCTCTGCTGCGACCACATATGAGCGTGGCTTGGAATATGGTCTCGAGGTGGGAGGAACTGCAGCCGGTATCCCACCGCACGCCTATGCCTGAAGCTCTCTTCAAGGCTATGATTGGCCTTTCGAACGCCTTGGGATGGGCGCGCTGGACGGCCACTACGTTTGCCATCTTCTTCTTCTTCGTTTCGAGGCCAGGTGAGGTCCTCCGAGGATTGCGGCGGCACCTCCTTACACCGGCCGATGCCTTGGAGCCCTTCCACAAGTGGTTATACCTGCGGATAATGAGCCCCAAGAGCCGACGGCGAGCTGCCAGGATTCAACACGTCAAGCTGGACGACACCACAGCTATGGAGTATCTTCTGGACAGCTGGGAAAACCTTTCAGGTCCTGCTCTGCTGTATCCTGGCAGCCCATCGGCCTACAGGCGGCGTTGGGACAAGATCTTGAGGATGTTGGGCGTCCCCGCCACGGCTGGGATTACCCCAGCATCTCTCCGAGCGGGTGGCGCTATAGCGGCGTTCCAAAGGGGCGTGGCGGTCCCCGACCTCATGTGGCGTATGCGGCTCCGGTCTCAGATCACCTTATTACCTCCAGGAGATGACCGGTTTTTCTGTACTGCCTGCTCTGCCAGAAGTTTCGAGGCGACGGATCCGGCTTGGCGCTTTTCTGTATCGGAACTTGGAAAAATGGGCCATCCAAAGAAGAGCAGCACGCTACGCGGCCGCGAGCGGAGTGGAGGACGCAGCTCAAAATGAGCTTGCCTTCCATTACGCCAGAACATGATGCAGCGGCAGGGGAAAAGGAACGGCGACGGACAAGCATGACTTCAGCATGCTTTCTGAGCCTCTCTTTGTAGCTTTTCGGATCCCTCCCCCCCACCCAGGGCGGAGGACGCAGCTCAAAATGAGCCTGCCTTCCATTACGCCTTCCATTACGCCAGAACATGATGCAGCGGCAGGGGAAAAGGAACGGCGACGGACAAGCATGCATAGATGCATGCTGGCAGCTTGAATCGCAACACTGTTTGTCCCAGATTATCAATCGGATAGGTGGTCAAATATGTGCTGGATGTTCACCCATCCTACATAGATTCTGCTTGCAGGCCTTGGACATCTGGCGCATGGAGACCAAGATAGAGGTGCGCGGGCATTGATGCCTCGAAGCTTGACCGTCTCCTCATGCCCTGCTGCCCTGCACGCGGCAGGTGTTGTTCGAGGAAGTTTTCAAGATCCTGCCACAAGTGTGGCCCTCCCCTCAGGATGAAGAAGAGGACGAGGACGTCGGGCAGCAAGGCGCCCGCTGGGGGGCACGGGCTTCACACACCTTCTCTTTCTACATTCTCTGTGCCTTCGGCTTTGTGTTAGCGTACTGCAGGTCGGCTTTCTGTCTTGGTTTCCGGCAGCACACAGCGGGCGTGGGCAGCCTCTAACACCCGGCTTGGACGCGGGTGCCACAATATGCGGTAGCAAGGTCGAGCGACGCGAGCCGAACTGTCCGCGAGAAGGCAACAACACTAGAAGTGCAGAAGAGCGTGAGCAGGAGCGGAGCACATAGGGAGTGCGGTGCAGAAAGCTCCGCAGCTCTGAGAGCCGGTCGGCCACACCGCACTTGGTCCCATCGATGGGCTCCTGACGCGACGCGGAAGCGACAAGCGACGATCATAGACGAGATGTGAGAGCACCGCGGCATTGAGATGTCTCGCTGACTTCTGCCAGGTTCGGGTCACTGCAGCGTCAGTTCCACCCCGAGGAAGACGACCAGCGTCCAGGAGTCCTTCCGTCCTTTCAGTGCACACCCTCAAAGCATCTTCTGCAGAGAGTTGCCGAAGCAGGGGTTTCGGGACGAGTGTGAAGGTTTCGGCTCTTTCGTGTCTAGTATAGGGCAAAGCCATACCTATGCCCAGTTCAGGGTTTGCCCAGGGGCCGGGGCTCAGATCTCTTGCGAGCCTCTTGGAAGTGTGATCCGGGAGAGCTGTGGGCTTGGAGGATGTCTTTAACAACTCCTCCTTCAAGCACATTCGCGCAACCAGCACGCGCAATGCCGATTCCTGCAGCTTGCCCGAATTATTCAGTCTCATGTTTGAAGATGTCGGAGTGGGCAGTCAGGACATTGCAATTAGTACGCCTCGGTTTTAGTTTCTCGTGGATGTTTTCCAGACGCCAAGGACTGTCGTGCTGGAGCCACCTGGCATGGGTGGGTTTGGGTTTATTCTCCCTTTCCCCTCCTTCAGAATCCCGTCTAAAAAACAGTGACTTGACCCTGAGCAGATCGACTCTCCACCCCTGAGCCCTTGTCCAGGTTCCGGTTCACAACTTGCATGCGACGAAGAGTTGGAGGTCCCATCTTGCTAGGCGCGCGGCGCTTTTTTGAATGCCCGAAGGGCATGGAGAGTTAGACACTCCAATAAACGTTTTGTGCCAGCTACGCCTGGCGTCGTATTTCGAAGCCCTGAAGGGGCCAGCGCTCCGCGATCTGTTCTACACCAGTTTGGCAGGCTGTTGGATTCAGGTGCCGGCGTGTCTCTGCGGCTTTTCAGCCGTTGATCGAACCAGCCTGCACAAGTTGTATTACCCCGTCACAGAATCTTCAAAGCCCGAGCGCCATGGCTCACACCTCAACTCCCCACCGAGACACCCAAGTTTGATTGTACAGTCGAAGAGAAGAGCTCTTAGCTCTTCTCTTCTGCGCCTGTCCAAGCACTGTCAGCCTGCAGACGGATTGCGCTTTCTGAATTTGTCTCGCGAAGGCGGAGGCTGGCTGAGTAAAGAGCGAGAGGGAGAGAGAGAGAGAGAGAGATCGAGACTTGGCAGAGTCAAGAGAAGTCCGCATTTCAAGCTCCAGTCACAATGGAACAAGGAGGATCGAACTATCGCAATTAATTGGTTTCGCCGCAACCGTCAAGATCCAAAATCGTGGGCGTGAAAACGGAGGCGGCACAGCGGTTGTGATGCCGTCGACGAGAATATCTAGAACTGAGAGGTCGCATGCTTTGAATCGAAGTTTGCAACACGTTGCGAGCACATAGTTTCCCATCGTTTGCTCAGCTGGCCAGCCTATGCTTGACACGATCAGGTTCTAGAGAGTTTTGCTGCGGGACGTCTTGGCAGCTCGCCAAAATTGTCGGAGATGCTGGGTACATAGAGCAACAAGCAGAAGCCGTTCCGCGCTGAAAAGCTCTCTGTTTGCTTGTGATTTTGCTAACGTGGGTGCCTACCCCTAGGTGAAAGCCGTCGGCGATTCGGGTTCAGTCCCTGGATAGCTTACTGGCTGTCTTGTGCAAGTTGCACAGATCCTGGCCTGCGCTTCCGTCAAAGAGGATGCAGATTGCTCAGAGTTTCTGCAATTGAGGGAGCATTGTAGCCGCTTTCAAGACGGTCGTGCCTTGGGTTCGGGTTTCGCAGCAACCCTTCGAGCGTCAGCCTTCGATCAGAGCGAGCCACATGAGGTTAACGTAGTGGGACTGTATGCTCCCACGATTCAACCACGAAGGGATGCAAGCCACTCCCAGCGATACGCTCTGAGCCGTGACATATCGTTTGACTCGCCACTGCCTCCGCTCAATGAGTCTTAGCCAGTAGCGGCTTGTGTTTGCAGCCATCCGAGTGCACTTTTCGGAGTTTGGAAAGTAAGATGTCCCGGCGAGTGACAAGTGACAAGAGCCACTCGCACAAAGGCGAAGAACACCGTGTCGCCACAGGAGTGAGGGTCAAGTTTGCTAAGAAGAGCGGTTTCTTTGCTTGAATGCCCTGTCTTTGGCTTCGCAGCCCGAAGACCTTGCCGCACAGGCCGTAGAATTCCAATGCCCCTTCCCGAACTCCCCAGAAAGCCACACATGAGCCTCCCCTGATCTTCCGGCAGCTTTCCCAGCACAAGGCAAGAGAAGAAGCCCAGGGCATTTAGCCCCCACCGACCCAAAGCAAGAAGTAGAATCTAAGCAGACGAATCTCTGTGAAGCTGGGGCGCTGCGCAAGCCGCTGCGTGGCCGCTGTCATGAGCACCTTAGCTCGGCCTCCTGGCGGCCCTGGCCCTGCAGCTCGGCCGCTGGCGGCAGTGAAGCAGGAGAAGCCCGACTCGCCAGGCCCACGACGCGGACAGTGCAATCGACTCCGTCCGCTCTCTGCTTCTGCTTCGGGAGGTCTCAAACCTGAGGTCTTGGCCGCGGTCCCCGAGGACAGCTGCAGCTGTTTGCTCCCGACGCATTCTCTGTGGCCCTGCCCCCGGCTTTCGATGGGGCGAACTCGAATGCGTGCGGAGTTAACCCCAAGTCAGGCCGCCCCATGGAAAGGCCCCATCATTGCGTGAGAAGGAATCTTACACTCGTATATCTTGGCTGGCATGTGACTTCTGCAACATCCTTGCACCCAAATGCCGGTCAACCGCTGCGTCAAAGTAGTTGCTGTCGGAATGATTTTGTTCATCGACCTGTCCAGCTGTTCTCTGACTTGGTGCTTTGTTCTTTTTGATCGCGAGTAGTATAGTATGAAACAGACAGTGGTCTTGTTTGTTACAGACACGTTGCACGTTGCTGTATATATATATATATATACATATATATATATATACATATATATATATATATATATCCATGCAGTAAACACGCCGACAAATTCCAAAAACAGGTCGGGTGTCTTGCCGCTCAGCCGCAGAACTCCAGAAGCAAATGTTGATAGCGGATTCGTAGTCTGCCGTTCGAAGGATGTCCCTGACTTGCCCGTCGAGCTTCCTAGGCCGGGCAAGCTGTTCCAGAAATTGCTTCCACGTAACCGACAGCAGGTCAGGTTTGCTGCCTTCTGCGTGAGGGACGTTGATGCGGAGATGAAGGGGGAAATGTAGAGCTCCAACTCCGTCGCAACTCGCTCGGCAGGGCGCTTCGAACAGTGGTGGAGAAACCCTCCGTCGAGTTCCAACAGCTTATTGACAAGCTGGTCCAGCAACACGACGCGCGGCTGAAGTCCAGTGCAGCTTGAAGGTTCCAGGCTCCACTTCGGGTTGAACCCTTCCTATGCCCAAGAGCTTGAGCAAGTCCTCAAGCTCGTCCTTAAAGGCCTGCTTCCCTTCTTCTTCCGTTTCTTTTTTCACCTCTGCCTCTGGCTGTGCTCTGCCTCTGACTTGCGCAGCAGAGGCTCGCGAGCTTCAAGAAGCACTGGCTCGGACTCCCACGTCCTCGGGTCCTCCGGCGGCGCATCTGACGCTCGGCCTCTTGAGCTTTTTCCCTCTAACCCCAAAAAATATTTTCCGATATTCATATTCCCCCTTTTTTTTCCCCTTTTTTTCCGGCAGGCAGCGGGAATTAACCGATTTGTGCAGGGTTCTTCGCAGCGCGTGTTCTGTCGACGCTTGGAATGTCCTTAGCTGCTGTGCAGCTACGAGGGGACTCTGTATTCTGCACGGTACCAAAGTGCGAGTTGAAGCCTGAAAGAGTGCCACCAACTTGCAAATCTAAGGGCATCTGCGGAGTTGGGGTTGGCCTCGAGAGATACCCTGGGCTTTGGCAACCAGGTGAGAGGATTGGAGGGATGTTCAGGGCTGATTGCAGAATTGGGTCACTGTCCATGCCGATTTGAACGACCCGTTGGCACTGTTTTCTCTGAAGAGCTTCATCGAACAGCCAAAAGCTTGGGGAGATCTCCAATGCATCAGTCCGGAACATTCCGGAACTTAATAATTGGGCCGTCCCTCGCATCTCGTTTGGCGTTTGGCGTAATTTCTCTCACAGACTACGGGATGAACTAGACGGCCTCATCCATTCCCAGACATAACCATCTAACCGTTACATGCCCACTCTTGGGGATTGACATACCAAAATCCCTAAGACTGTTAAAATCCAATAATACAGCGGTCCTAATTATTGGCAGGAGCATTCCCCTTGTAATCGCTGCGCAGCTATGTTACATGAGGTATGCGACTAGGGTTGTCCTTATGCAGGCCCTTACATTACACAGCTCCATCAGTGTCTGCAAGGAAGAAACTCAGGGCTCGATTTGCCGTCCGTTTTGATCCTTTGGCAACAGGCGAGTCCATTTAGGAAGTACATCCCAAAGGGCTGTGAGGAAGACAGATTCCATTGTGCCGTACTGGCCCAAACCTCAAACCCGAGACCTAAACCCCTTGCGATTTGAGTACACCGTAGTAGCCGAAATCCGAGACCCTGGTCTTGATGAGTCTACAGTCTACTCCTGTCGTAGACCAGAAACACCCTTTTCTCTTGTCGACTCGTCACGTGCAGGCCATGGAGCGCATGCTGCGGCTTGGCGGCGGCCGCACTCCACGCTTTCTCCCAAACGTTCCCGTCTGCTCTTCTCTCGCTCCCTCTCGCTCCCTCTCACTCCCTCTCGCTCCCGCTCCCTCTCCCTCGCCTACTCGCTGTCTCTCTCTCTCTCTCTCTCTCTCTCTATTTCTTCTCCTCTAACGCATCCACGACATTCTGGCAGGCTTTTAATCATAGCGAGCCGCTTCGGTCTCCTCCGAGGTCCCCGATGTCGAATGCCTCGAACATCTCGCAGTCCAGACGACGGCAGTGCTCGACTGGGGCCTCGCAGCAGAAAGAGCTATGCCAAGAGTCGTTGCTTTGGATGAAAGGGAAAGGACCTGCTGTAGTTCTCTAGGAACTCTGAGCAAGGTTCGGGTCAACGCCAACATGATCCTCGAAGCTTGGGAACGGCAGGAGCCTGCACCTGCCAAGAGTTCATTCCAAGGCTCTCCGAAGTGGAGAGCGAAGGCGACATGCTTTCGTTTCGCCTTTGCGCACGGTTCGGCTGGGAGACTTAAGTCGCGGGCGAAAAGGGGCGACACAGCGAAGGAGGCCAAGCCAGCACACTCCCCGTTGCGTTCTTTCCGAGGAGTCGGCTGATGACTCCCTGCTGGCAGTGGAGGCTCGAATCTCATCTGGGCGGCTCGGCACGGGCTCATAACCATGTGTTTCTTACCACAACAAGACAGACATCGGCAAAGAGGGCTTCGGAAGGGACACCTCGACCTGAGAGAGATTTCGGTGATGCCGTGTGAGTATTAAGCCACCGGCATCAAAGCCGGCTTGCATCATGCAAAAAGACGCACTCCGTGCTGCAAGTGGGCCAAGAATCGTGCTGTCCCTGCCCTGTTCGCTCGGAAGACAAGACTCCAGTGTAGTGAGCTT